GTGATTATAGAAAGCAAATTATGTAATTCTGAGCACCAATTACAAATTTGGGACAATAAAATATCTAGATTACAAAATAACTAACATGAGAACATAAATTAACTTATTAACTGTATAAACAACTTTGACATGTTCCTTGTAACACGTTTGTAGTAGTTGGTTTGTATCCTGAGAAAACTATGTGTCAGAAAAGTGTTACGAGTTTACACTAATGTAAGTACAGTTATCGATCAAGCCAATAAAGAAAGTGAATGACACCAGATTATTCTGTTGCCTAGAACAAGCCATCTTTCATCGACTTATTTGATGTGGATTAGATTTGCATGGTGGAAAAATGATCACAATGGGCCTCACGATTAAAGCAAGTAATGCAGTCCACAAAGAAATAGGTTACACTTCTGTGTAATTTTTCTCCCTCTTTACTTTCTGAACTACATATTGAATTGAATTGAATTTATTTCAGGGTAAAACCTTGAGTTGTATCATCTCATTTTCTCATATACCTAAACATAAACACAATACATACACAGACAACTAATGCGTCGTTTATCAATATGCCTCATGACAAATGTAACATACGGGATAAAGTCACATATCTGACACTATCATTCCTACTCTCAATCTGACTGTCCTGGAAAGCACATTTAGGACCCTACAGCTCACTGTGGTGTTGAGTTCTAGCTGAATCTTTGAGTGCAGCTTTGTTAATGTTGGTAGCAGCCCTGATTGCAGATTTCATAGATGTCTCGATCCAAGCGTGAGGGAAGGCTGTGTGTTCACCAGCAAAGTGCACCCTGCCTTCACTTCTGAAGAGCTCCTTGGCGTACTCTAAATGTTGGTAGGGTGTGAAGAGAGCGAAGCCGCCCAAGCTGTAAGGATCCACGCTCCACCTCTTTACCACCACCTCTCTCCATCTATCCCTGACTTGCTCGCCGTGGATCTTTGTCAAATCTCTCAGAGCCAGCTCTTTCAAGTCTTCATCACTCGCTCCTTGGAAGAGAAGGGAGTCATCAGACCAGGTGTAGGAAGCCAGGAGGACGCCGATGGTCTTATTTTTTGGGAAACTGTGGCTGGGGTAGTATATGAAACGAGAGGGGCCATCTGTGATGCTCTTTCCTCCATGGATTCCATCTTTCTCCCAGAACGTCTCGTTAAAGGTGAGGATGATTTTAGTGGAGCTTTCATAGTGGACCCCCCTCAGGGCTTCCATCTTTCTGATGGAGAGAGGTGGATCAAAGTCCATGAAAAGGGCTGCTTTGGCCGTGGTTGTTACAAGAACGACGTCAGCAGAAAGGTCTTTTAAAGAGGCATTTTGGCCTGTCTGGTAAGAGACAGTTACACCCTTATGTGAGTGGTGGATGTGTTTGACCTTAGAGTTGAGGAGGATGGGGACATCAAGGACATTGAGAAAAGCTGTGGTCAGGAGGTCTGACCCACCGGTCACTTCATAGTACCTAAAAAACAAAAACACACATTTTTTGTCTCATAGAAGTGAGTTTGCATTACGTGATGGCAACACTGTTTGATAATCTATTCAGGAGATTCTGCAGACTTTCATATTCATTTGGCCTGAGGCTACTAAAACAAGTATGTCAACTTTTAGTTATCCCTGCCAGCAGCTTTCTCTGCTTCCTGGCCTATATAGTAAAGGAGCAGTAAAAAGCCGGTTGTTGTTAAATTAATACATATTAAAACACAGACGCTAGTCATAGTAAAGAATAAATTAAATTAAAGCAGCAGCTCTTGCTTTGAACCAAGCATGTCCCAAAATAGCAGAATTTGATGGCACTCCAAGTCTCTATTGTACAGTGTATATACACAACCATATAAATGAGCGCAACTATAGCCTATGTGCAACAGAGGGTTAGCTAACAGTGAGAATAAATATAGTTATGTATTTGTACACTATCCTAATAAAGCAATCTGAATGCTTCAAATGATGTCCTTCACATTTGAAACCCTTCACCCAAACCTTTCCAACACCAGAATCCCAGGGGAAGTCCAGCAGTTCATGTAACTATAAAAACAATTGAGACACCACACAGCAAATTGCCAGGTTTACAGGTGAGGTGAGAAAGTCTGGATTAGAACTTCTCTCTCAAGCTCTCTTTTATTTTTACCAAAACTACTTCCATCACGGTTGTATGATGGCTGGCTTGTCACCCCCCATTGGAGTGTGGGCTTTCAAAACAGCTACAAACTACTACTATTTCTATAAGGTGCGGTCTGATGACACTACTGTTTTGTTTCAAGTATCCCCAAAGACATAACACATTCCTAACACTGTTCGGAAAAAAAATAATTTTGTGTTAAATCAAGCAGTCTTACTTAGTGCTGTCGCTGACGTCGCTCTGGATGTAGATCATCTCAGTCAGCGCCAGGTGCATGAGGCTCTGTTCATTGAGTAAGTCTCCGATCATCCTCAGCGCTTCTCCACTCAGCCCACCTTCTTTTTTCAGATACTCCTGTGAAACAACACACAGATGTTTTCTACACTCAGTGTTCAATCCCTCAAATTGATCATTAAAAAAAATCAACAGCTGAAAACTGTGTTACAAACTGTATTGAGGACACGTGTTTTACCTTCACAGAGTAATGGTCATATTTTGTCAGTGCAGCCCAGCAGCCATGAGCCTCCACCTCATCTTTCACCTTCAAATAAGAAAAGGAAAATGTAAGAGAACTTGTGCTGGTATTGTGAGTGTTCACACACGCAAACTGAGCTTCGATATGTCTCTATAATTAGCCATGATCGAGTAACTCAATCATTACCAGAAACAAAAAGCAAACCAGTGGAAGCTGTTGGAGACAAGACAATGTATTCAATTGAACCCACTGACAGCAATGTCAGTGCTAACATTTTGTTAAAGAGTGAAGTATTGAATTGACTGACTTGAAATTTTTTTCAGGAGTAGTGTTACTGTAGGGTAAACCTTAAATAGTTTGGCGAATACCTTACCATGATGCTAAATGTTATCGTTAACATCTGAATGTACGCTTTACGGCAAAATTTGGACCTCTACATTAGCGACACGCACATTTGAGCTGTTGATCTATTGCAAACCATCTTGTCAGTCAGTTCAAAGTTGTTTTTTTCATCAAGGCCCTTTGACTCCATCCCTCTGTCCTTTCCTCTTACCTTCTGCAAAGCTTGCTGTAGCAGCTCGTCAGCTGACTTCCCTTTCTCACTTCTCCGCACATTGTAATTCAGGATATCAGGGTTTGCTTTTACGGCGTAAGTCCTCTTCCGCAACCCATTAACCAGGTAAAAGGTGTTGGGGTCATCCATGGTGAAATTTTGCAGCTTGACTCCCAGCTCATCAGCAAACCAGCGGACAATGCTGTTGACAGAGGAGTTAATGGTGGCAGAGTTAGCCTGTATTTGTAAGGTCTCTTTAAGGCATGTGAGCTGAGAGTAACTAAAGAAAGATCCCAACAGTCAGCAACTACTGTTGATGTGTAAGTGAGACATTCAGTGGTGGCAGTAGGCGTGGGCTGGTTACTGGTTTGAAGGAATCCCACAGGTTGTGTGCAGCCCCCCCCCCCCCCCCCCCCCCGGTTGCAAGCAGTCAGTCACCTAATTGTACGATGGCCAAAGGAGGGGAACCCCTGAAATTTTTCCACCATTGAAAAAAACTGAGGCAATACGACAAATATGGTATCCCATCTACGGGAACACCAACCGTCCCTCTTCGATAAATCATAAGCTGGTTTCACCCCTCAATTTACTTATATTACTTAGTCTAACAACATTTGAAGGTGTAGGAGGGCGTATCACTGTGTCCTGCCCCTGGAGCCCTGGGGTGTCGGAGGGCCATGGGGTTGGTTTCCGCATTGCCTGGCCTGGGGTGGGTCTGGGTTTTGGCCCTCTTCGATGGGGCTGGGTCCCTGTCTGGGGTCACGGGGCTTGGGGGTTTCTTGCTCTGCCTGCACTCAGGGGGATGGCCTTCAGCTGGGCTGGGGTACTGTCAGCCCTGGTTCTCCTGCATTCTCGCTCCCTGGTGGTGGGAAGCTCCCCAGCACTGTTCTCTCCCTCGGGGAGGGGCATGGCTGTCCCTGGGACATGTGCTCTTGTGTCCTTTGTTCTTGGGGGGAATTGCTGGGTGCCCTGGCTACTGGGATTGATTCGGTTGTGGTTCAGAGCTGTGCACTGAGAATTTCATCCTGGATTTTTGTTTGGCTGTTGCTGGCAGCCTTCGCTTTTCCGGCGGTTGGGGGGACGGCAGACTTTTATTGGCGGGTGCACGACAACCTACACGGCGCGTTTGCTGCCGGGCTGGGACTTGCTGCTGTTTGTTTTTTTCTCCACCCCAAGCCCCCCTCCCCGTTTTCTTGCAGGTTTAGTTGCTTTCTGCAATTGGTGTTTCCCTCTGCTATTTCTTGTTGTTCCCACCTGAATCCCCGTTCTCTTGCAGGTGTTGTCCTTTCTCTGTGGTGTCTGTTTGTGTGGTGTTTGTGCCCTCCCTCACCATAGGTTACACTTATTTGGATAGTTTACCTACAGAGATTATAGTATTTATAACATTTCAGTTTATTATTACAGTTTATTAGGTGTAGCTGAGATTCAACCATACAACTGTTTCACAAATACACCCATTTTCTGATATTATACCACTGTGGTTAGGTTTTGATTAGGGCTAATGTTCCATGCACATGTACATATTTAATTGTTCGTTTAAAGGAAATGACATTAACTCACCGGTGATAACTTGGGATCCTCATGGCTCCCAGCTCAGCATACCAGCCCTCTTTTTCATTTCTGTAGGTCTCTACCCGTCCTCCGACACGGCCGCTAGCCTCCAATATGGTGACCTTGTTAAAAGAAAAAGTCTTTTGATTTCTGAATTTTTGTGATCTCTATTAAAATAGAGGAATTACAATATGTGTATGTGTGCCATGTTATGGTGGGACACTTTGAACCCAGAGATAGATTTTTGCAAGCACATACGTCATATTGTGGAGAAATCTCATTCATGTAGACTAGAGCAGAGGTCACTAATAGGCGGACCGCGGTCTGGATCCGGACCCAGCCGCCGTCCTCTCCGGACCGCCGACCTACAGCCCATTTATTATTGAGACTTACTACCTCGTGACGGAGCGTTTCTATTTTACCCCGCGCAGCTTTTCTAGCATTTACTGTACTGGTTTAGAGGACCAGGAAACTCACAGACCAATCGCATGTGTTCCAATCGTCTCATGTGACGCTGCTTAGCCAATCAAATCTGTGCACACCGAGGCTTGCGAGTCGAGTCCGCGAGATTCACCAGAGACGTTTTGGAAACACACCCGAATTGAGGAGATGAAAGATAAAAGAGATTTCACATGACTTTTAATCAAGAATGTACAGATTTTTACATGTACATTCCTCCCACGGGCAGTTCAAAACCAGAATATCTCATAGATCTCCAATATGCTAGCTGGAGCTCACGTTTCTCACTGAACAACAGAAAGTAGGAAAGTGGTAGCTCTGTAAGAGGAAATGAAAGAGAAGAGGAGGCATTACAGCTGTTCATTTGTTATGATGTGTTGAGTGTTTATTATAAAATTGGTTAAGACTACACTTCATCACTTCAAGCTACACTTTTTATTTAATTTTTTCTAAAAATTAGGCACTTTAGTTTACTTAAATTTATAATTTATTATTTGAATAGTTATTATTTATTATCCCTCCAGTTTGATGTGAATACAAATATTATTTGATTTGACAGTCCGTTGTTGATTAAAAACATGTGTTGATACAACTATAGGTTATAGTACTGAATGATAACGCAAGTTCGTCGTTTTGATGTTCCGGACCTTTGCTTCAGGAAATGTTCTCTAACTAGACCTCTTTGAAATCTAATTGAATACCCCTGGACTAGAGTATTGTACAACTATAATCCATAACATTTGAGTATGCATCTGTCAGCTTGTTTTAATGCTTTACTGCCCCCCTGTGGGCCAACAATACAATTTAAGTACCTTTAAAGTATCAACCTGTTGCATGTACCTTGTGACCTGCATCTTGCAGTAACTTGGCAGCCGTCAGTCCAGCCGCGCCAGCTCCAACGATAACAACATGGTGAGATGTATTTATGTGTGGGAGGCCGGTCTGCACAGTCTGCAGCAGCACATTGTAGTCTTTGTCCTCCAGACAATCAGCCAGATGCTCCTTCAGGCTGACAGTAGAAGTGTAAATGGGGTACAACGTGAACAGCAGCACACTGACAGCAACTGGAAACACATTAAGAAAAAAACACACCACTTACTCCAACAGGGAACTCATAACAAAAGATTTTAACCTTCCTTGATTTTAGGATATTACATTTAGCAAACGCACAAGTGAAGAAAATTTTTCCAGGAGACCAATATTTGTGTCCCATTTGAAATCAGAAGTCAGCATTGAGTTACTTTAAGTTATTTACTTAATTTTACTTGTGTCATGTATGCCATGTGTCATTTAGCTATGTTACGCAGTTATATACTTACTTTAACTCAACCATTTTCCTAAACTTAACCAAGTAGTTTTGTTGCCTAAACCTAACCAAACTGTTTCCATTTCGCAATGTTAACAATTTTCTGGCAGACAGCTTTCCACAATGTGATGCAGATTGGCACTCTTCGCTTCCATTTCATCATAATTGTTCTGTTTCAGGCAACCAAATAGGTTTATTTTGCTGTATGTACATTATTCTAGGTATACTTTTTGCCGGACATGAATATAAATAATGACCCCAAAATTTGTTTCTAGCCTTTGAACATGTCGTCTACCTTGCACTTTGTACACTGATAATGATCTGTGTAAGGAACAACTACTAATGTGACTAGACATCTGCAACACTGACTGGGTTTCTCTATTATATGTTTACATTTCTTCTCAATTGGTTAAACACTGTAATCAGGCTTTTAAACTAAGATTTCAAAACCATAATGGACCCAGTGCACCCATTTCCCTAAACTATAAACACTTTTCCCCTGTTTTGACACGTTTCAAATTCTACACAACTCTACACACAAATCCCTTCATTTCTCATTGCCTACACCATGTGGTCATTTAGAAAGCACAGACATTCGATATTGTTCACTCAAGTCAGCACAGCTTGAGCTCAGTTAGCACACAGCTACCCAGGCGGAAACACTAAGAGTCATAATTGATAACACACCAATCAGAAGCTTCAATGGATGAATAAAACGAGGAGATGTGGAGGAGGAGGAGGTGGATGACGAGATTATCTGGCCTGTCCCAGACCAAAGACGGGATGATGGGGCAGAATGATTATTTGCTTTTGTTTGGTGTGTTGTACTGTACAGTACATTAAGAAATAAAAAATGTGCAAATGTTTACATTTGTTGTGTCTTTTGTTGTGTTCATCATGTAAAAAGATTTTTGAGGGGAAGAACCACAATTATAATTACTTATTTTTGTAGCAGTTGTATTGAATTTTATCTCACCAGTGTGTAATACTGTATGGTAGTGTGTGTGTGTGTTTGATGGGTTGTGTGTTATGTCTGAGGGCAATGTTTTTTTTTTCAGCAAGATTGAATGGTTTTGAGTGAGGAGCTTCATTTTGACCTGAAAATAGGAAGTTTGGGGTATTGGGTGAGAAGTTATACATGTTTGTATAGAGTTTTGAGCAAAGTTTCAAATTTCAAAAAATGTGTTTAGGTAATCCAGAAAAACTTTAAATGCAAATAGCAATATGAATTATTTAAAATGAGACCAGCAGAATTTTTATTCCTGAAAATGACACATTGTTTAGAGTGAGTGGGGTGAAATCAGGAAATTCCACTTTTTCTTCTTCTTGGCATGTGACATACAGTCTATGCCTGAAAAGCCCAGGAAAGACTTGCGTTTCCTTATTTCATCAAGTGGTGATGAAAGGTTATCTGTACACAAAACCTTGTGATCAAAAGCAGAACTACAGTTAGTCATTCCTACAGTCTGCAAAACTGCAGACAGGAAAAAAGATTTATGAACTGACCAAAGCAAAGTTGCACGTACAGCACATACTTGAAAGCACAGAATAATTACAATAACACCTTAGTCTGTAAAATCGAAATCCAGCAGGACAGAGGTGCAGTCTGATACAAAAGAAAGAAATTAAATATATTTTTATGTACGTTCTTGGAAATATAAAAAGTCACAGTTTTTAATGGTTTGTTTAAATAAAAGAAAACACATTATTGCTGCATAATTCTTACATAATTTCCACTTCACCCCACGTGGATCCATCCTAGTTTGGAAGCTTGCCTTTCTTTTCGTCTTTGGTGGCATGAAGAGGAGAAAGAGACAAAGAGGAGACAAATGTTTAAATGCAAACTCCCGACAGAAGTTGCATCTCAGACAGTAACTGTTCACATTCTGTCTGCCTGTATAACAAAAAATATTATTTGTGAGATCTGCCTGATTTGTTCATTTGATGATGTTCATCCTGTGTTTTGTCTGTTTTATTTCAAATATCTGTTCTGTCTTGTTGTGGAATTGCTAGTGTTTCTCAGTTATTTAGTCTCACTTGTCTGTTCTGTGTTTTGTGTTCCAGTTAGATTCTTGTCTTGTGTTTTGTAACCTGTGTTCTGTCTGTTCCCCCCTGTCAAAACTCTGCCTACCATGTTGTCTGTGCTACTTGTTTCCTGTTGTGTTTAGTTTTGGTCTAATGTTCAGTCTGTGTTTGTGCATTTAGGTTTTAGTTGCCCCTGGTCTGCTGTCGCGTGCGTTACTTCCTGGTTTATATTGTAATAGTTATTGTCTGGTGTTTTATTCATGCTTGGTTTCTGTCTGACTGGTTGCCTTGGTTTTTATTCTGTTTCATATCACTTGACAGTATGTGAGTCAGTCTAATTTCCTCATGTCCTGCCCTGCTTGTTACTTGTTACCTGGTGTTTACACCTCCACCTCACCTGTTACTGCACTCAGCCTTAACCCTGACAGTAACAGGGTTTAAACAAAAAAAACCAACACTATTTGTTTAGTTTATGATTAATCTTATTTGTTTAGCTTATGATTAATCTTATCATTCAAAGTAGCATACTTTAATGAATACACGTTCTGTCCACCTATTGACAGCATTTGTAATATTAATTGTAATGCACATTTTACACATTATGTATATTGTTTAAAGTAACAAGATTTTATTATTGCTGAGCTTATTTTCAATATATTTTCATACTGATAATATTATGTATCTTGTTTCATTTAACATATTTTGTACTCACATTTCTTGCAGTGTGATGATATTCATGTTTTGAATTAAATTTTAATTTCTCTCTGTTCTATTAGTAGTCACTGTAGTAATGATGTAACTTTTCACTCAGGGTCTGTTTTCATCTGATCTTGTACAGGCTATGTCATGTTTTTAATTTAAGATTAAATGATATAGTTATTTTGAATGAAATGGCTGATTCCTACCTTTCAAGGAGCTTGATCAGCAGAAGCTGTTACAGTGTGCAGATGTGAAAGCATTGCTTTCTTATATACCATACTTTGCCTCAATGCTGGATTTTTTTTTACTCACCCAACTCACCTGACCACAAAGAGAATGTCATCCTGTATGCTTTCAGTTTTCATTATTAATCAACTCATGCATTCATGTGATCTGCAACCGTTCAAGCTCATGGTAGGCTGTGTATTATCTCATGGGAACGTTGCCAGAAATGCAAATATTTTTTTGTTGGATTGAAACTGCTAACAGTCATGTTTGTAATACCCACAGTAGCATCCAGTTTGGAGAACATGGAAGTATGGTACCTTTAACTGGGTTAGCTTTTATGGAAGTAAGAAAAAAAAAATGAAAATGTGATCAACCACAGCGCATTTTGGTATTTGCATCTTGTGAATTTATTTGTCAACTCTTGGATGACTGTTTCCCACAATCCATTGTACACTAAGATTGTCTGTGAAAAGTGTGTCAATATGCAATAACCGCTCAGGTCTCATGATCAGAAAAAACATAATTCATCATCGTCTAGAAGGCCGTGTATTTATCTCATGGGAAAGTTGCTGATGATCATTTTTTCATTCCCTCTGTCACTTTTTTTGTGCACACATGGCTTTATAGCATCTTCAACTGGGTGAGCTTTTAAGAAGAAATACAAATCAGCTCTGCCACAGTGCATTTTGGTGTTATACAACACACTTGTATCTGCATTTTGTGGATTTCTTTGTCAACATTTTTGGAAAAACTAAGGCTGTAGTCAAGCTCACCCAAAATCAAACAAACAATTCTCACTTTTTCGGTGGTTAGATAACATCTACTTTAAAATGATTAGGAATTATGTAAACCTGAATTAATTAAAAATTAATTAAATAAAATATTACATTTATCAATAGACTGTCTCTTTCTATTCACAAGCAGTAAACTCACCAAAATAAAATTGAAAAGTTGTCAGTGGCAGTCGTTTGTTGCGGTTGTACTTTTATTACTGTAAAGTAAGGTAATCAAAGATCACAGCCAGAGACATGAAAAACAAACCATACCATATACCTGTAACAACCATATAAAACCATGTCAAGAAAATGTTTTTCTTGCTCTGGTGACCTCCTACTATCTAAAGACAAACAGATAAGCTTATATGCTGACTGTAAATTGTCTGAAGGTGTAAATGTGAGCTTTTTCTTTGAATTAAAACTATAACACTCAGTTGCTTGGACTCAGTTCTTCAGACTCTAGAGTTCATCTCGTGCTGGACACTTAGCCGAGTCTTTGAGCACCACTTTGTTAATGTTGGTAGCAGCCCTGATTGCAGATTTCATAGATGTCTCAATCCAAGCGTGAGGGAAGGCTGTGTGTTCACCAGCAAAGTGCACCCTGCCTTCACTTCTGAAGAGCTCCTTAGCGTACTCTAAATGTTGGTAGGGTGTGAAGAGAGCAAAGGCACCCAAGCTGTAAGGATCCACACTCCACCTCTTTACCACCACCCCTGTGCAGAGAGACCTGATATACTCGCCGTGGATCTTTGTCAAATCTCTCAAAGCAAGCTCTTTCAGGTCTTCGTCGCTCGCTCCTTGCAAGAGGAGGGAGTCATCCGACCAGGTGTAGGAGGCCAGGAGGACCCCGATGGTGTCATTTGTTGGGAAACTGTGGCTGGGGTAATAGATGTAACGAGAGGGACCGTCTGTAATGCTCTTTCCTCCTTGGATGCAGTCTCTCTCCCAGAACTTCTCGGTGAAGGTGAGGATGATTTTAGTAGAGCTGTCGTAGTGGACCGCCCTCAGGGCTTCCATCTTTCTGATGGATAGAGGTGGATCAAAGTCATGAAAAGGGCTGCTTTGGCTGTGCTTGTTACAAGAACGACGTCAGCAGAAAGGTCTTTTAAAGAGGACTTCTGGCCTGTCTGGTACGATACAATTACACCCGTATCTGACTGGCTGATGTGTTTGACCTTTGAGTTGAGAAGGATGGGGACATCAAGGACAGTGAGAAAAGCTTTGGTTAGGAGGTCTGACCCACCGGTCACTTCATAGTACCTAAAAAGTAAAAAACACACATTTTTAGTCTCAATGAATGGAGCACAAATGTGACTAAATTATTTCCTTGTTTGTATGCAGTGGTGGAAATGGTGGGCAGGAGACACAGGAACACTGTTCTGGAAGTAAAAGTCGTGAGGAAATGGCTTTCATGCTCAGATTTTGAAACTCTATTCAATGTTTTTATTTTAAAGGGGGAAATCACCTATACCTGTTTACGTGGTTTATAGAGAGCACTTACACAAATACACTCCAAAATAACTCTGGCTGATGACAACTACGCTGGTTACTGTAAGAAGGTGCAATAAAACCTTTGTGAGTTGAAAGCAAATACATTATCAATAAACCCCTATTTTGATATATCGCATTAGAAAAAAAAAAATCATTAAATTTTCAAAAAAGTTTTTACGCTTGCGCGAGGTGTTTTTTTTGTCTTTGTTAAAAAGAATTAATGTGCTGAATGGGATGGAAACACTTCTGCCGAATAACTTCTGACATCGCAAACATGTAACACATGACGGATATTCCATACCGCGCGGAGACATGGCTGGAAGCAACTTGCCCAGTTGAAACAAATTCCTGGTGATCTCTCTCCATTTTTCCCAGATCCATGACTTCTAGTTTGCAACCCATACTTCTTGTTTATTACAGCCATGTGTAACGTCAGAGACAATTTAGAGGAGACATGCCACTCAATACAACTCTATGGGGAAAGCCAGTAACGGTAAAGATGGCGGTTATCCCGCCCCTCCCGCTAGAAAGCCAATCATCTGCTTTTAACAGCCAAAGCAGGAAACATATTTCAGCCAATCGTATGGACGTAAGGGCCTACGTTACTTCTACTACGCAAGCGCCAAAGGGGTGACACATGCGCAGTAGAAGTATAACGGTAGGGAAAAAACACTTTTTAAACCTTATTTTGGGGCAAAGCTGATGGAAACGCACCTATTTCACAATTACTTTTTTTCTGCGACATTTCAAAAGTCTGCTTAAAATTCGCATGGCAATTGGATGGAAAAATGGCTATTGTAAATTAACCTATTCATTATGCCATTACAGACTAAATTTGTCACAACACCCCAGCTGTAACTAGGCTGGCAACATCAGTGTGTGCGTGTTTGTGTTTTGTTACTTTCTATTTTTGAGTGTGAGGCTAGCTGGTGTGCAGAGCTCAAAGTGAGGTATTGCGTAAACAAAATGGCGGTGCGGAACGGGAATATGTAAACAGAAGAGCAATTTTTGGACTAAAAACAGCAAAAACAGCAAAAGTAAGTCAGGGTTTGTTATTGGAAATGTATATTGGTTATCTTACTGATTAGTCCGTGCGCTTGGGTTTTAAAGCTAAATGAGTTACACAGCTAATCTCAGCCTGAGCTCAGCTTTCAGAGAATGAGATGAAATATGTCTGGATGGCTGTGACTGCTGTACAGTGCTCACAAAGCAATATATGTTGTGTATGGGCTCACTTAGAAGCTTCGTGTTTGATGTGTGTTTGGTTTGGGTAAAGTGGTTTTGTGAGATTCTAGCAGAGCGTCCAAGCTTTATGGTGGTGTGTAACGTGGAAAGGGTGACTTGATACTAGATTAGGACATGATATTCATCAAAAATATCTTTTGCTAAAATCATACATTGTACCCAGTACCAGGGACTTTACGGCTCAAGATATAAGTAACTTTAGTAAAAGATTTTTATGTTGCTCTCATGAAAATGAGTAGAATCTAGGAATGTAAACAACATGACTGTCACAAAATCTACTCTGCTGCAACATGTATAGCCACTGAACTACTGTCTTTTAGATCAAACAATGGTGGAAATTTTGCATGAACAACTCCAATTTCTCAGACCTCCACAGCGACAGTTGGATTTCTGTCACTTTGTCTGACCGCCTTTTGTTTTTGTTTTTCACTCTACTGCAAACAAAGTGACTGTCATTTTGAATAATAGACAGTGTAGGATGTAGGGCCTCACGTCACGCTGTCGCTGATGTCAGTCTGGTCATAGATCATCTCTGTCAATGCTGTGTACATGAGGCTCTGTTCGTTAAGCAGGTCTCCAATCATCCTCACTGCCTCTGAACTCAGACCTCCTTCTTCTTTCAGATACTCCTGTTAAACAAAGCAGTCAGAGACTCAGAGAATATGGCTTAAAATGTACAGTTTTTTAAAACTGCTTACTCAAAAAAATCACGATTTTTGAAACCTCTCACTCAAAGAGCAAAACCTCATCTCAAATTTCCAAAACCATTAGCTATTTCTCAGCCTTTCACTCAGTTTTCAATTACATAAAACACTACACACAATTATCTACCTAAGAAACAAAAATCTAACAGGAAGTGAGTGACCTGCTTTCCTTTTCAAAACACAACAAATGAAAACGCTACACTCGTTCATCAGGTCACACAGCCACTCCTCACATGTGCAAACACTAACTGCTTAACTGATCACTTACCAATCACTGCTTTAGTATACAGTAGACATAGGTCAAAGGTCAGATTACCTGTTTTGAACATTGGATACCAACAATGAACAGAGACATCGAGGACAAGTTCAAGGATGAAGAGTTGGAAGAGGAGGAGGATGAGGGAAAAGAAGAGAAGGAAGGAGAGCCATCACTGATGAGTTCAGGGCCATACTTATTGATCATGTGATCAACCACAGGTTGACAATGAGAGAAGCCAAACTTGAGTCACTTTACATTGGTATTCATAATTTGAACCTACAGAAATCAGAACAGGGTGCAACAATCTAATGGTTATTTCAGCAGTGCAGTATTTCAAAATAAGTTTTAATTTTTGGCAATAAAAGTAAAAATGATACTTTTGGTTTACGTTTATGGTTTTTGTTTCTTCTGTGCTACTGTTACAGCTGTAATGTTTTGCCAAATAAATATTTGCTGTTTCAACATTGCATTGGTGTTTACAGTTTACTTTTCAGCAGATTACTTTCACTCTAGAACATTGTATGGAAATGTACACATGAGCCTATGAAAGACAAAAGAACTTTAGATTTAGAACAACAGCGTGTAAATGGCATATCCAATAAT